AAAAAAAAAAAAAAAAAAAAAAATGTGAATGGACCTATGACAGTAATAGTGATTCAAGGCCAAGTCAACAGCCCAAAGGAAAGCCCAAAAGAAAGCCATATATGGTGTCATTGTGGACAGTATGGGGCTCCCCAGCTGACATTTGCACTGTACATCCTGTGTCCTTCATGCCATTTCAGAGAGCCCTGCTGATGAAGAGGAACAGTGGTCGGATGACTTTGTAAGTATTTGTTCCTGGGATTGAGCAGGAAGGCACAAGAGTGCCGTGGGAGGTCTTTCATAGGGCTTGTTTCTGAATTACATTCTGGTGGTCAACTGCATATCTCAGGGGAGACAGAGTGGACAGGGCTGGGCAGGCCGCCTACAAGCAAGGCAGCAGAGATCTCATAATGGCTGATGACAAGCACAATCTCCATGTCAGTCTAAGAACTTTCCTGCATCACCTTCTTTACTTTTCAGCCCTAGGAGGTAGGTATTCATATCCTATCCTCAGTGTTGGAATTTGTAGTACTCACCAGCACAGCCAAACTGATGTTAAAATATTTCCATATCATTTGGCAAATGCCTCTCTGCCTTAAACTCTCTAGTGCTCTATTACCTCCTGACTCCTGCGAAGGAGCCCCCCCCAAAAAATTAAAGAGTTAATACCTGGCACAGGAGGGTATCTCCAGGACCAGGCATGACAAGTTCAAGTAATCTACACTTCCAAATTCAAACCCAGATCCACAGTGCTCAGAACCAGACTCTTAACCCTGAAGTGCTTGCTGTGCTCATAACATTAGCAGAGCTCTGAGAATCAGAGTGAGAAAAGGAGCTGGTCGTGAAACACTTGGCAGGCATGTACCAGAGTGAACTGAACCTCCCTGAAGAGTCTCCACGGTCCTGCAGTCACCTGTTTCTTGGACCGAGTCTCACAGGGACAAGGTATCCTAAAATTCTTTTCTTCACAATAATTATTCTTTGGTTGTACTAAATTCAACCAGCATATTAGCCTGCTCTAATCTGAGTTTTAGATTTGGAAGAGATCCCACAGGCCCACCACACAATAATACACACAATCCACAGATAAGGACACTGAGGCTGAGAGAATGGAAATGACTTTCCCACAGTCAGACCTCAGGGAGACGCAGACCTCCAGACCAGTACCTACAACTGAGCCTGAGCTCAGCTCCAGACTGTGTGTGTCGCCTGGAGTTCATACAGAGTCTTAGGAGACAACAGTCCCTCCTTCTTCAACTGCAGAAAAATCAGAAAAATGAAGAGATCTGACCTCTTTGCCAGCCACTCCGGCACCAAAGTTTCTCTTAGGGCCCCGCAGCTACGGAGCCCCAGAAGCACTACAGCTGCGCCCTCTGCTGACCATAGCTCAGACCTACACCTGCAGCAAAGGATGGAAGCAAGGCAGTCCGTCTCTCCATCTCTCCAGAGGACAGAATAGAAAACGATCTTGCTCTGGAATAAAAAGGCTGCACAGTGGAGACTTAGAAGATACCAAGTAAAATCAACTTGGAGAGGAGAGAGTGACTTGCCCCAAAGGCAAACGACTAAAGTTAAAATACTAAATATAATAAGGAATGAGCGAACAGTCACTATTATTACTTCATGAGATCGCCATTGTACATAAGATGAAATACAGACTTATTTGTAAGCCTTCAGGTTTGTATCATGAACTCCTATTATAAAACTGAAGGTGGAAGGAGACAGGCCAAAAGGCAAGAGCTTCATCTGTTCGTGAGCTGCTGTGGTTAGATCGTGCATTATAGCAGGCAGTGTGTGCAGGCAGTGGGAACAGAGGTCAGAGTACCTCTTACCTCCCGGGGCACATTAAGGTATGCAAAGGTGGGACACACATAACGTGCCTGGAAAACATGTACCAGAGGCTGTACCACTGCGTCTGGGGAGACAAGTAGAGAGGTGGGAAGACTCCACCTTCCTCGTTGTTTGTGGACTTCATTTTAAAAAGAAAAGAAAACAGAGGATGAATTCTCAGTGAATTTCAAGACTAATCCCGCACCCTCAGTTTATCAGCTCTGCTTATTGAAAAGCAGCCCTCTCCCCCTCAAAGGTGCCCCCTCCTCTGATTATATTAACATCTTCCTTGGCCATCATCACTCATGATAAATAAAATCTGGTTATTCTACTCATTGGCTCCTTATAATATCTTTTAATTGCATTTCATTGTCTTCTACTGTTCTTTGTCCACATGCAGAGTTTCGGCCACTCTGCAGGAAGGCCTGCCTCACACTCCAGCTTTGCCTCTCTTGAGCTGCCTAACCTCACAGTACCAGTCTCCTCTAGCCTTGGCTTTTTTATCACAGTACTGGGGAGCTGCTTCTACCTGCTAGGCTGGACCTGCCTCTCCGAGAGACACAGAGAGGGATGCTGAGTGTGGTGTCTACGTTTGCAGGACAGTGACTACGAAAATCCAGATGATCACTCAGACTCGGAGATGTATGTGATGCCTGCCGAGGAGAACGGGGATGACAGCTATGAACCACCTCCAGCTGAGCAAGAGACAAGGGTGGCCCACCCAGCCCTGCCCTTCTCCAGGGGCGAGTACGCAGGTGAGGCCATCCTCAGACATTTCACACTGCCTTTTGGGCACACAGGGAAGGGGAAGGCAAACTTGCTGCTGCCCAAGGCTCTTTCTGTCTCCCAGGCTCAACTACTCCAAGCAAGTTTTCTCGGGGTGCTCACAGCTAGTACAGCCCAAGTAGTAAAATTTTCCCATTCCAGGGGCAAATCATCTTTCCTAAGTCAGGAACACTGAGAACAGGCAATAATTAAAACAAGTAAGTACGGCCTGATAGTTACCCTCCCCTCATCCCTGCTTTCATAGCTCCCTCGTTTAGATTAGTTTTCATTTTCCCTAGAGCTTTCTGCACGTAAGGTTCTGGAATTTCCTTTAAGAAGTCTGTACAGAACATCAATGACCTTTAAGAATGCCTGTGTCCACTAAGCCCCTGACTCCTCTGCCAATAGCCCTCTGCCTACACTGCATGTAGATTGGATTTTTACCTGGGCAATGGGTGTGCCAGTGAGGGGTCTAGGCCTGGAATAAGTATCACAGATCAAATTGACACAGCTCAGGTCTCGTCTTGAGGGCTGGCTGTGCCTTTTATTGTCCATCATAAATGGCTTTATGTACTAGTTTTAGCAAGTGACTAAGTTCCCTAAAGATGAGGAGAGCAAGAGTGTACGTGTTGGACAGGGCAATGCTAACATTTGTACAGAATGTTCCTACCAGTAAAGGCCTCCATATCCTCTCACTGCCACTAGCTGCCTCTTCACAGGGTACCTGGAGCTGCTTGTTGCTTTGTTCCATAGTTAATCTGTTGAGCACCTACTGGCATCGAGCTTTCAGCACCAAGCAACACATACTCTCAGTCTTTTTATAGTTTATAGAGTAGTACTCCATAGCCATAGCCTACTTAACCCTCTTCATGTTTTTGCAAAAGAGGAATTTATCTAATGGAAGGAGGTGAGGCTCAGGGGAGTAAAACAACTTGGGCCAAGCATCAAAGTAAGTGTGTATGCCCTACTGTTCTGCTCCATACTGCCCGCTAGGGTTAGCTACGACCTTGTTTAATCATTGCAACAATTTCGGGAGAGAGGGGGCTGTTTTAAGTTCACTTTGCAGAGAATTCAGGGTGGTTAAGTGGTTCATTCAAGGGCATAGTCTGTCTTCTATATTTTGCTACTTCTGATCAACTTGTATCTTACCTTGATAAATCTAAGTGAACTCCAAGAGTTGCAAATAAAACTTTAGAGCCTAAGCACGTAAATTAAATGTTTATCTTCAAGGAAGAGACAAGGGCTGAAGACAGGAACAGGTATCAGTATGAAGACATAGTGTCAGGGGCTAGACAGGCAAAGGCAGCTGCACCAAGCTACAGGAGTCTTAGGAGTAAGCAGCTGGAGTCAGTGATGCAACACAGGTCACTGTAAGCAGCTGTGCTGTTCAAGATGGGAAACACATCAGGTCATTCCTATGCCAAGAGTTCCCTAAAATCTATCCCTGTGAATCACAGTTTGCTCACAGCATGGGGCTGGCTGTGTAAGCTGCAGGTCCTAAGCCTTCATATGGCATGGTAATATGAGTTTTGTTGTTAAGTAGACACGCTATACCTACTGCTTTCACTGCTGTCCTTGTAATTCCCACAATAACTCTCTAACATGGATATTATGATCCTCAGTTTTGAAATGAGGAAGTGAGTCCCAGAGAGGCTGAAAAACTAGCCCAAACTGGTACAGCTAGTGAGGGGCAGAGCAGGGCGCAGAACCCAAATTCATTCAGCTTCAGAGCCTAAACTCCTGAGATTGATACCGGCTGAGAAGGAGGTCCTAGGCCAGTGGGGGTTGAGGGTGGTTGTCATAGACTCCTGGGTCAATGGGGGTTTCACAGATTTCCTCATAAATTGAGGGGAGGAAAAACACACAAGTTGACCCAGATGAATGGACACCACCCTGGATACACCTTGAAGTCGCTGGTGAACTTTTTAGAAACATTAGACCCTACCCAGAAGTTTAAACATAGTAGATACGGAGTGGGGCCCAGGCCCTGGGTATTTTTCAACCTCCCCAGAGGGCTATAATGTATAAAAAGGGTTGAAAATCACTGCCCTTAAGAGTTCATCAAGCAGTCCCGGAGCACTCTCTTAGGCCCCATGTTATTTCTGTCCAGTGTTGGCCTGTCAGCTCTCTTGGACCTGTAGTCCCCAGGGAGGAAGTTTTCAACAATGATATCCTTATGGATTTTATCATGTAAATCCGTGGAAGGTTGAAACTTTTTGCCGATTGTTTTGTTCTTCTAGAGAACGCCCCACTGATTACTTGTAGCTGCATACATGCCACTGTCTTTAAATTGTCTAGATCCCTTCGGTTTCCACCCAAGGAATGATTCAGAGCCTCTTGTATTGTTTCTTGTTTATTCAAGACAATCGGTCAAGCCAGAGGCAGTCTCCACCCTTCAGCAAGACTTTCCCCACTAAGTCCAGCTGGCCCTCTGCAAAAACAAGGCTCTCCTCCACTCTCCCGGCCCCAAGGACTCTGCCCAAGCCTCAAGTCCCACCCAAGCCCAGAGACCTCCTTCAAGATGAGGTAAATTAACCTGTCTCCAAGGCTTCCCAGGACCCAGAGGGGAAGAGGGAGGTTGCTAGAACCATCTGGCTTACCTAAACCTTCCTTATTCCAGGTCCTGCTCCTTGAATGCTCCCCTCAAACCCTTCAATGTTGTACTGGAAGGATTTTGTGTTCTTGAAAAAAGCACATACAACTTTACTTTAAACATCTTAATCTTCTAGAGGTATATGATGTAATGTCATTACTACATCTGTGCCTTTCCTGTTGTTTCTTCTTCTTCCTTCCCTAGGTTCCTGTGATTTTTTTCTTTCTACCAAAAGACATTTTTCCCAGTCTATACCCTGTGTGCTCTGACCTGTTACTGCGGTGCTTTCTTCCCTGCACCTTGTTTCCTCTCTGTGCTTTCCACTTGCCTCTTCTCAGACCGAGAGAGGTGACATGCAACATGTAAAGGGGCTCTCAGTCTGTACCTGACCCTGTGCCTCTCGTAACGAGCTCATCCCTCATTTCCCTCAGATAGCTCATGCACCTTTCCCCACCCCCAGGTACTAAGCTACCCTCTTGATCTCATCAGTCTTCCATCTGTCAGGACCTACTTTTATGAGTATTCACTTTGGAATTGCCGCCACTTGAGGATGAACAGATGAACTGACTCCCATGGCACAGTAAGAGTTGCTGAAGCCTAATGCATGGCTTCCAGAGGATTTGCCCTTTAGATGAGGACAAAGACAAGGCTCAAGCCAACCATTAGGACAACTCTTCAAGTGCAATAGCCTGAGAAACAAAATAAGACCAAAGGTCACTCTTAATCATCACCACACACAATTTTACTGCTGCTTCTCTAAGAAATAACTTGTCTCTAAATGCCTGTCGATGGTACAGCTGTGGCTTCTGTACACGGTGTACATGAGGTCCACTTTTATATAATTTGTAATCTGGCAGGACATGGAAAAGAAGAACCAGTAAATCAAAACAGAGGCAGCATCTAGGCCCAAATTTCTGATTCGATCCTTTCCAGCTCTGTGACTTTGGGCAACCAGTAACTGCTCTAAGTCTGTTTTTCACCCCTTAAGGTTATTTTGAGGGTCAAATGAGAGACAAATGTACACAGAAGAAGCTGAGTATATGCTAGATTTCTTTTTACAGAAACACTGTTGCCTCATCTCTCCTGAAGCCCAAAGACTTTGGAGGCGGCCAGACACTGCCTCAGAGCCGTGGAGTCTGTTGGTAACCTTCTGGCTCTGCTGTAAATCCTGACCCCTTTCATTTGTCACAGTCCCCATCTCTCCTACAGTGCATGAACACACACTCACTCTGAACTTGCTTCCCTTTCCTGTACCCTGCCTTCCTCTGGACACATTTCAATTTCAATTTGTGATCCCTGCTCTAGGGACAATGCAAGATAGAAAGTCAGCAGAATTGCCTGGGAAAGGTGTGGTTTGTCAGTCCTCAGTCTTTCAGTCTGAGAGGTGATATTATCCTTTCAAGGTGGAAACAGGGCGATGGAAGAAGCTGAACAGGGAATAGGAAAGAGAGACCAGCTGCTAGGGTCTCACCATACATTTTAGAGGCATTTGGCAAATACACATAAAGACATGGATTCAGACACAGAATTCAGTGGCTACTGTGGGGTTTTCTCCACTTCTGTGTAAATGGAGAATCCAGCAAGGTGAGGCAGAGTTCTGTTATCAGCAGCCTGCAGAGGTGGTTCTGGTAAGTGTGCGCCAGTGGGAAAGGAGAAGGATGAAGGAGGCTGCCCTGGGTGGGCAGATGGAGAGTCAAGATAAAAAGAAGTTAAAAGGGAGAAAATAGGGGCCAACATTAAGATGAGGCCGAACCATTAGATAGGAAAAGAAGAAGTCAAATACAAACAAACATAAAAGCTAAACAAAAATATTTAGAGAAAGCAGCATTCTCCTGGTGTTGCAAGTAGGTAACATTTGACAAATGCCATATCTTAACTGGTGTGCTGAGCATTTTGTACATATGAGCTTATTAAATCCTCATGACAATCCTGTGAAGTCAGTACTTATTATTAGCTCCTTTTTACAGATGAGAACACCAGGGTGAAAAGGGGTTAAGAATTTTTCCACAGTCACAGAGGTGAATGGTAGAGTTGGCATTTGAACTCCAGTAATAAGGTTTTGGAGCTCAGGTGCTAAACAGCTACCCTATGCCAACATCTCTCCAATATGCAATGAGGAGAGAACAGTGCTTCATTTAGCACACAGGTGCCAAGTACTGGGTGAGACCCAGGGCTTCCATGGTGCCCAGAACCAATCCCTTCTGTAATTTTAAGCCAGAACAGATCTGACCTTATAGGGCTTCATACTTGTGGTCTTTATGTGACTCTTGGACAAATTACTCATCTCCCAAGTCCCTGGACTATAAAGTCAGGATAAATACTGCATACAGAACTTACTTCAAGAAATCAGTATTACTGCGCAACTTGGAAAACTGTCAGCCCTCTGTATCTATGACTTCTACACCCACAGAGTCAACCAACTCTAGATAGAAAATATTTTTTACAAAGCTCTTTCTGCACTGAATGTGTACAGACTTTTTAATGGTTATTATTCCCTGAAAAATATAACAGCTATCTACTTAATATATTAGATATTTTAAGTAATCTAGATATTAAAGCATACTAGAGCATGTGCATTGGTTGTATTCAGATACTGTCTGTTTAAAATGAGGGTTTTGAGTATTCATGGACTTTGGTACTCCTGAGTAGAGGAGTTCTGGAACAAATACCCCTCAGACACTGAGGGAAGACTATACACTAGAGCACACCAGATTAAAACTTTTACACATCTCATGGTATGGGGATTATATCTGAAGGCTTTAAGAAATAACACTCCTTCTCATACATTCAGTTATGAATACACAGTGTTCTCACTGATTTTTGCATTTCTTTTAGGCTGATTATGTGGTCCCTGTGGATGATAATGAAGAAAACTACATTCGTCCCACAGAAAACAGTTCACTTCCATCTGAAAAAGGTTAGAGTGCAGTTTTAAACTCCTGACAACTTTGAGCCATTGATAGGGAGTACAAGGTATTTAGCAGCAAGCCCTGAGGGCTCAGAAATCAGTGCCCAGGCCTCTCTCCTCTGAGGCCACCGCAGGTGCCTTTGGCTAGTGGAGCAGACAGCATCAGTGAGCAACTCATTTGTGGGTTGTGTAGCCCTTCCTTTCCTCCTTCCTCTTACGTGGTGAAATACTACCATATCTAATTATAAAAACACCTGGGTTATTATCTTCAGCTGCCCTGAATTGCAATGGATTTTTCATAAAACCAGATGCAAAAATACAAGTTACCCTGTTGGCCTTATAAATAGTGCATCAGAAAGAATTTATTTAGTGTCTTGAAATTTTTTGAAAGAGTGAATATCTTCTGCATTCTCATTCTTTAAATTTTGTGGCATCTCAGGCCTATGAGAAATGTTTCATTTGTAAGTCCTACTTGGGATAACAAATTCTATTCCAAATAAATTATCTTTAAAAGGCCAGTGCCACATAGCCTCAGACCAGACACTGAAACAGGGTATGTTTACTGTAGCTATAGTCACTTTGGAGAATATAATCTCATGTAAGTGATGCATATTCAGGTAATACTACTTAGGTAATAAACTCATCCGATAAAGGTAGTGGTATTCTGCCTTCATGTAGCGACCTTCTTCTGTACTCCCTAGTCTCACCAGCAGCTTCAAGGCCTACCTGAACTCTCAACATACTCATTACCATAAAACAGCACATACACAATCCATCTCACCCCAACAACATTCTAGAGAAATTGCATGTATTGCATGTGGCAGGGGAAGTGGGACTATTAATTTGGCCCTTCCATGGTTAGTTTTAATACATTTCTCCTGATAATAAACAAAATCAAACTCTGTTATCTCCTAGCCCTCCAATTTAGCAAATCACTAAGCTAGTAATCACTATAACAAAATCCCTAACACAAAATAATTTGATTCTTCCTTTATTCATCAATATATTTGTTCTAAAAAGCCTTTTTTGAAGCCAGGCGTGTTGGCGCACGCCTGTAATCTCAGCACTTGGGAGACTGAGGCAGGAGGATCTCTATGAGTTCAAGACCAGCCTGGGCTACATAGTGAGTTCCATGCAGGTCAGTCTCAACTACATAGTGAGACCCTGTCTCAAAAAAACAAAACAACAACAAAATAAATAAATAAATAAAAATAAAAAGCCTTTTTTGAATGGATTGTGTGTTTAATAATGGGAGATATCCCATTCTTTGCAAATTCTGTCTGATCTGTCATTTTTTCTGCATGGGAATTTGTCTAAGTGGAATATATCTGTGTCATTACTTACCTCTCTATTTGTGTTTAAGCTCCCATGGTGAATAGATCAACCAAGCCAAATAGCTCCTTGAAGTCGGCTTCTCCTCCAGGGACAACTTCAGGTAAAGTATATGAATGCTTTGGTTTAGTTTTTAATCCATTCCAAATAAGATACACAATTCAGATTAAACATAAAGAAATGATCACTTGTATTTCCAAACTTCTTAGTGACTGGGAAGAGAAGTTCTATTTTTGTCCTTATTTGTTGTCTGGTGGCCCCTATGTGGAAGGGGCCCTCAGCCCTTGGCCTGTGGGCTCTGTTACCCCCCTCACTGGGCACTGTGCTGCTTTCCCCCTGTCTCATTCCCCTGACTGAGAACATCCACAGGGCTTGGTCCACAGCTCTCCTTTCTGGATATGGTGGTGGTTAAAAGCTCGAGTGTGGAGCTAAGCAGACCTGAGAAACCTAAGCGTCCCCAGTTACCATTTGTACAGCCATAGGCTTGTACTTCACCTTTCCAAGGGTCAGAGTTTCTCTCCTCTGTAAATGGAAATAGTAGTTCCTACCTGTGGCAGGAGAATTCTGAAACTGTGACAAGAGACTCTCTTCACGCGGCACTCAGTAGTCGAAGAAAATGACTATGCACAGCTTTTGATTTCATTTATTTTCTCGGCTTTACTTCACGTGTCTGAGCCACTAACCTCCTAGTGTCCATCCTTGACCTGGTTTACCCCTTCAATCCCCTTGGCTTCCTTGCACCTCAAGCTCAGCATTTCCATCACCACCCTCCCCTGCAGGGTGCTCCTTCCTCCACATGCGGCAGCTTCCAGACAATGTGTCTCAAGGGTTCTGTGTTCTTTCCAAAGCCTGTTGTTTCTTCACCCAGAATTTGCTCTTCGTTTTCAGTTGCCCCAGCCCTAGGCCAGGCTTATTTTGTCACCTTGCGCCTTCTCTTCTGCAGGCATCCCCCAACCACACTACACTCCTACCTGTGTGCTCTCTCCTCAGCAGCAGACAATGAGCTTCTGAACTCCTCCAGATGTTGCCCGTTTCAGTCCGTTGCATGTTACCCTTACCAAGCTATGGATCCAGTCTGTCCTGGTTATCATCAGTAGGTTCCAGAAACCCTCAAGGCTGAGGCCAGACGTGACAAGTGGCTCTCATAGCCCCACCCTATTGCCAGCCCTCAGAGTGTGGGGCCTCTGCTTCTGCTTCCTGTGTGCGCTCTCTTCCTCTCTCTCTCTTCCTGGGCCCCTCGCCTGCACGCACACATGGGCACACGTACGCCCCTCTCTTACAGAACGGAACACAAGCAACAGGAAAATGGGCTCTTCTTCTGACGGGATCCTCTCCAGAAAATGAAAGGAAAATATGTTTTAGACTAATTTCTTGCAAAATTGTTCAATGTAAGCTCTTGTCTTTTGTGTCCTCTCCCTTAGACTCCACGGCCTCTTTATATTTGAATAGTGGCTCTCAGAGCCCTGTTATCCAGTTTTTCTGAGGCTCTGGGAGTAAAGGGAAACACACCAAAGCAACATGACATGGAAAAGTTACTTCTCTTCTACCTAAAGTGGAAACTCTTGACTCAGGATGCACCTGGAATCTTTTTACTAAAACAAATAAATGAAGACCTAAACTTTTCTTTAGAAAAATAGTTAAATTATCTCTAGTGTTTGCATCTTTAAAAGCTCTGTTTGCTTTCCCAGGGATTTCCCAGCACACCAGTTAGTTTATATTTTATGGGTCCTGATTTTTTTTTTTTTTTTGTATCAGGGATCGAACTCATGACCTTGCGCTTGTGAGGCAGGCACAGTGCCACTGAGCTAAATCTCTGCCCCAGTCCTGATTTTTTTTGGTACTGGAGATCAAACACAGGACCTCGCGCTTGCAAGAAAGGCAGCGGCACCACTGAGCTAAATCCTGGCCCCGTCCTGATTTTTTATCCTTGGGTTCTCACTTTTATGGCACCAAATCTTGGCTGCCTTTCAGATCCCAGCTTGGGATTGCCACCTCCAGGAATCTGTCTCTGGTTTCAGTGGCCCTCAAAGAGTTTTCTTTTGCCAGAAGTCTCTTTCTACACACACTAGTGCCCATGCCCATTACCTGATTACTCTGTGTCTCAGTCTAGTCTTCCTGAGTACACTGAAAGCCCCCTGAGGATTTTGCTTTCCATGTTACTTCCTCAGGGGACCTTATCTCATCTCATATTGAGGTGGATCCCTAGGATGTGCACTCATATAGACCCCACACTTGTCCTTTATCCTATGACCCCTCGTCAGAGTCATGTCTTTCTGGTAAGACTCTCAGCTGCATTATGTGCTCACAGCTGTCTCCCGGTGCCTGGTTCACAGCAGGTATTGAGATGACAGGTGGGTCAGTTTGGGGTGAGCAAGACCCCAAACACTGGCTGTGTATGAAGAATCTCATAGTACATTGTGAGATCAATAGTCCACTGGGTTTATTGTTCACTGGCTAGTTGTTAACCCAGTGTAGCTATATTTTAATACTAGAGACAGAGATGAAGACACCATACAAGAAGATAATGTGCTGATTATGTGATTGCTGCCTATAAGTGGGAGAAAGGACAGGAGGAGGGAGGAAAAAAAATGATTTGGGAAGAACAAACCTGAATGGTTAGAATGACCTTTTGATTGTGTGAACAGTAGGATTTTTCAGGGGTGATTTTCATAAAAGAATTGATCAAATGACTTGCCTGTGTCATTAAATAACCATCCATTGCCCCTTAAACTATTCAGAGAGCTTCTGCTGTGCACCACAGCGCTGCCAAGGTTTCTGGGTGTTTCTGTGAAGCGCCACACCATGTCAACTGACTCTGGTTATGTTGCTTTTGGTTCTGTGATAGCTAGCACGGTGCTTGCTGAGGACTGCATGGGAAATTAGGTACGATGGCAAACCCCACTCTCCCCTTCATGCCTTGCATACCAAGGAGCACAGACACGTAGATTTAGCCCAGATCCAAAGTCAGAGAATTTGGGACCTAGCTCTGACACTTGCTAGGCATTGGAACTTATGTGGGTCAAGTAACTTCTGTTTCTTAGTTTCTTCCTCTAAAAAATGGGGGAAATGGCACCTGAGCATAGTAGTACTGTGAGATTTAAATGAGTCAATACATAAGAATAATACTCATAAAATGATGCTCCTCTGTTATTAATTATTATGGTCACCATTGAGAATCCCTTGTTTTAACGGGCCTTGATTCATAACCATTCTGCCTGGCACATCCGGTACACATCTCAAGGAACAATTCTATTTCCTTCTTCTAACATGAAGTTTTACCCCAGATCAGTCTTTCTTAACCTTGGCACTGCCGACATTTTAGACCAGATAATTCTTTGTTTTGGGAGCCACTTTGTGCATTGTAGGATGTTTGGCAACATCTCTGGCCTCCACCCACTATCGTAAACTCTACCGAACTTCCAAGAATTTCTGAATTCCAAGAATTCAGAAAGCAAGGTACCTGGCAGTAAAGAAAACTCCAGATGTACCTGGGAAGGAGTTGTCCTACCTCAGCTGCATTCATGGGTTTGGCTTTGTTCCACAGCGGCAGCAGGGCCAGCCCATGAGATGGAGGAATCGTTCTCCATCTTCCCTCAGCATCCACAGAAGTACCTCTCTGTTTCCTTTATCCTTCCCTTCCTAAGAGAAGCAATAAGTGAATTGACCTACTTTCTCAATCATAGCCCAGAGAACACTCTGAGGTCTTAGCTGACAGGGAACGTGCGACTGTGTTTCAGCTCAAATAGCCTTGGCTTAAACCCCAGCCCCCGCCCCCACTTATCCTCTCTGAGACTCCATTTGCTTCACCTACAGTTACATAAGACTTAGAAAGAGAATGGCACCTTTAAAGTACCTGGCACAATGGCAGTGCCTAAAGATTCTGTAGTGATTGAGCATAACAAGACAATGAAACAAAGACAGTAACAATCATGTTTACAGTGATCTTTGGAGTTTTAATTTACATATAATAAAAATCATCCATTTCATATAACTTGATTATTTTTGCAAACTTTTCATTCATAGAATATTTATGTAACCACTACCATAACCCAGTTTTAGAACATTTCCATGCCTACCCCAACCTCAATCGATTCCTTATACAGTATCCATTTGTTTCAACCCCAGCACCAAGTAGCTACTATTCTGCTTTCTGTTGCTGTAGATTTGCCTTTTCTAGATAGATATAATCATACAACGTGTAGTTTTTTGCATCAAGATCCTTTCACCTAGCATTATGCTACAAGATTAAAACCTTTTCATCTATTCTCAGCAATATTACTATACAGTTGGCTAATTCTTTAAAATTTTGAAGTCATCCTACCATGTTATGACAACAATCCTAAGTTTGCTAAGGTAAGGAGTGGTGTCACCATTTCACAGAGAGGGTAACTGAGGCATAGTGGCTTTATAACAGGTCACCCAGACAGTGTGGGACAGAGAACAATGAGAACCTGTCGTCTGGATACAAGACTGTTTTCAACCAGCCCTTGTCTTGAGCTGGGAGGCCTCTTCTCTGATTGCTAGAAGATATTTATGAAGAGAAAAAGGGAAGGAAAATGTTGGAGATACAAAGGCTGTTTGGAGGTACAAAGAAAAAGGAAGCTTAGCTTAAAAAAAAATGAAGGCAGTAGGTCTCAAGAAGATAATATACCCAGACTGACTGAGTCTTTGGCATTTAAGAAGAGAGACACTCCTGGGTGGAAATTGACTAGACATTTCTACTTCCTTACTTTTCAGACATGATTTTTTTAATCTTCCTTGCAACCGTTCTTTAGAATGTATGAATCACCAAGGGTATTTTATCAGAGTTGATCTTAAGTATTCAATTTAATATGCCAGCTAATTAAACTCAATTGGACTCATGATACATTTCAGTTCATTATCACATGTAGTGTAACAATTCTAAATGTACTCTTTCCCAAAATACCTTTAGAAATTACACCTAGATCAGGTGGTCTGTAAGTTGGATGACACTGGAGGTGATCCTGCTTCCCAGGATGCTGGGGAAAGCTGCCATATGGAATTGGTACCACACACCCTATGCTGCTGCTGTCATCTGTGAGTGTTTAGAGAATTAGTCCTGTGCGAAAGCCATGTGTAGACAGAATAAGTGAGCTCTGAGCAGCAGCTGGGGGCCTCTCTCTACCAAAGCCACAAGAATGAAATTTGCCATCTCTATTTTTAAATATTTTGAGTGTTAAAATGAGGTGATGCAAGGGTTTGCATGTCTTCCTTGGTGTTGAGTGCTTTACACAATCTGGTTCCTCAGTAATTCTCGGTAACTGTTACTTCAGTGTTTACTTTTGTATGCTCTAGCTTGAAAACTACAGCAATACATGCTGAGGCAACACATCCAACTTATGCTTAGGGTATTCTCCATAATTCCATTAGGAATTAATAACTTATCAGTATGGTTGGTTCTTAAGAAAATCAAATAGTTCAATTTGATTCAGTAAAGAGCCTTATCAAGAGCTTCCTAATCTCACTAAGCAACAGTGTCCAAGAAACAAAGCATCTGCCTGAGAGGGGGCAGCCAGCAGATGCCGAAGACCAGCTTGGCTCTGTCCTCTCCCCTCCAAGTCTGCCCTCTGTCCCTGCAGCCAAGATCCTGCTTCTCTCATGCCTTCCTTCATAATAACTGTCTGGCTCTTGTTTTCAGAGAGGGGATGGAAGGTTGAATGCAGGCAATAAGGCCCTCTGGGTCCTATCTATGACTTCAGAAGATGAGATTTGGGGAGTAGCCTTCTACTTGCCCTGATTTGTCCATTTGTGTCCCTGGAAAAGGCACTGAGAACTTCAGAATAAACTTGAAGTGATGTGAGGTGCGCATACAGCCTTGAAGAGGGGCTAGGGATGAGCGCAGTCCATACTGTGTATCAGAAATGGTGGGTTTTAGCCTTTGTGTTTAGGCACATCTGCTGCCACATTTGTACCTTGTATATAGAAGCAGGTATGAGCTCTTGGCACCCTCACAAAGGAATCCTTCTTGAACCTTCAGAACCAAGGGGCCCTCAACTTGCCCCATGCCTCACTTTGACAGGAGGCCATCAGAAACGTTAGTGTGGAGTTTTAGAGTCGAGTCTTAGTTCTAAGCTTATACACTGACATTTTTAAACCTGTGCCTGTGGGTTTTCTGACACATCCTCGGTAACTAGATATATACAGAGGCCAGGGATTTAGCTCAGTGGTGCTGTGTCTGCCTGGCAAGCACAAGGTTCAATTCCTGATATAAAAAAAAAACCCAAAACAAAAAAAACTAGTTATATACATTTAGCTGAAATCAACCATACTGTGTGTATGTTTCTGAGTCTGTCATAAAGGGCCAGCCTCTCTTAAGCCATCAGCCATTGAGGCAGAATACAAGGACTGACCTGTGTATGTGTTTGTGCAGGTCGAAACAGCGGGGTCTGGGAACACAAGTCACCATCTTCGCCTGCTGCACCATCGCCACTGCCGAGGGCAGGGTGAGTACCTGCTGTGGGCAGTGGCTGTGACATCCAAGTGGACGGGATGGTGGGAACTGCAGCCCAGCAGACTCCCATTAGAAGTCCTCCACCCCTATGGCACCCTGGACAATGACCCAGATGAACCCCTGCTAAAATCAGAATCTCGAGATCTTCCCTGCCTTGGAGCTTTAGTTAAATCTTGGGTTCATTTACTTACCGTTCCACAAGTCACCCTAACTTTCAGAAGCACTCGCACCTGAATAATTTTAAAACTGCCTGGTAGATTTCATTTGTACTTTCTACTTCTTGGCCTTGTAAATAAGTGTGCATACCGTTGATAGCATACACAGTCAAAGTCTGTACAAGGTGCACAGTCAAATCAACCCTGGTGAAGCTTCCCTTCAGAGTGACACAGAAGACTTATTCTGTCTTGCAGAATCTAAAAGGGCTGTGTAAGCTGTCAGATGAGGATTATAATGTATTCATATGATGAACAGTGGCCCCCATAAAATTATGTTGGCTCAATAGTTTATTTTAAAAGCATACTTAAGTATATTTAAGGCTGGATTGCATGATTATAAACTTAATTCTGCCTCTGTGGAAACTGAAGAAAGCCATAATTTCAGGGGTTTATTAACCAAAACCGCATACCTCCCATGGCTCCGCTTTATCATTTAAGTTCCTTAGTTTCTCTGGGCCTCTGTTTCTTCATCTCCAAAATGTGATTATAACTATTTTAAAGGGTCATTTGAAAAGGTTTAAGTAACTGTGAAGAGCACCACCCAGTTCAAAACATCTTCTAGGCACTCAGTAAATCAAAATTTTAAAATACTTCAACTCTGAGAGGGAGGGAGGGAGATTTGAAAATAAATAACAGAGAAGCATAGAACCTTAGCAATATTAGAATCCAGGATCTGTCAGAACCAAGACAAACAGTAATGTTAGGGGAGGTGAGGACCTTCAAGATCACAAATTACACTGGGTTTCACACTCTGGCATCGGATCTCTCTTTGAATGCAACCTTATGTTGATTTCTAGTAAAGAATAATCACCTAGGTGCAGGGCAAAATGTAGCTCTGCAGAAGAAGGTGCTGGCTGCAACCTTACCTGCCTGGCTGTTATCTCATCTCCACTCATGCCCTGGAAAGGAGCCTAAGGTGCTGTGGGGGAGAGGAGGGCTTTGCATGCACACTCTGAAAACACTAACTCTGAGTCCTGATTTCAAAAGTGAGAAAATGAAAGGTCAGACTTGCCTCATAGCCAAAGGAAAGGGCCCAAGGGTCACCAAGTAACTAGTAGAAGAAGTAGAACAAGAGCTGGGTCCACTGACTCCTTGGCAAGTGGGCTCTTGTTTATCCCCCATTAACCCTTCCCCATCTGTCAGTGGACTCAGTCTGAGGCTAGAAGGATCATTACTAAGTCCTATTTCCATCCCTACTTGCCTTTCAAGGGCAGTCTTCCTGTCCACTTGTATCTCATTGTTCTCTTTGAATCTGATAATAAGATAAGTTAGTTCCACTTCATCGTTATTCAGTTTTAACACAGCTAATCTCTTTTTAATCCTCAGGAAAATAACAGCCACACCACTGAAGACAGTAAGTTAATCATGCACTTAAAATGCTTCTTATTTCTTGTACTGTTTTTTCTTATTCACATATTTAACGCTGAAAATGCTTTCAGCCATCATGAACACAGCAATCTTAGCAACTGAAACTGCTGTCCAGAGAGTCCAGAGGAAATCTGAGTCTTAGGCAACCTGGAAGGTGCCTCCTAAGAGGAGCTTGTCCTTTGGAATTGTGGTGGCTTCGCCAAGTGTGTGCAAGAGATCAGATGGGAGTGGCCAGGCTCCCTGCCTCCCACCACCTCTGTGGGAAACCACTGTGCTCATTCCCTGCCTTATGGCACAGAGACTCAGACTAAACTCAGATTCTGCTCTGAATTCTAGGCCATCTCATTAAGTGAGGCAGCCCAACTGGACTATTGTGGTATTTGAAATTGACAATCATTTAGCAAGCACATGCAAGGCGGAGTCATGAGATCAACCCTATAGATGCCAGATATCCACTGCACAAGCACTACTGCTGCTGGGGAGGCAGTACCCAACAACCCAGCGGTATCCAACAGAGCAGAGAGGGGCCTCTATTCCTACCTACTGTTCCTTCCATGAGGCATTTCCAGACAATTGCCATTTCATAAGAGTTAGGCTGGGATGGGGTTGGGGATTTAGCTCAGCGGCACTGTGCTTGCCTTGAAAACACAAGGTCCTGAGTTTGATCGCTGGTTAAAAAAAAAAAAAAAAAA